AGATTTCTAGTCTATCGCCTTAACCACTCGGCCACGACGACTTGATATATGTAATGGTATGACAACTGTCAATTCACTTTCCCATGAAACTGGTATACGGACAATCTGTACTGTCGTCGTTGTGTCATTGAACAAGACACTGTTCAGAAAGACTTGCGACGGCCTCCCGTGTGTTGTTCGGTGAAATAGCCACCATTCGTTTATCAGATTATTAGAACACTTCGCTTTACATCTGAATATTAAAATGCTGATTTTAATCAAAGAGGTCTTTATTCAAGTTTCACCTCACGCCTCCACGCACACCCAACCTTACCCACCCCCTAATCCTCTACGCACACCCAACCTTACCTATCCCCTAATCCACCTCACGCCTCCACGCACACCCAACCTTACCCACCCCCTAATCCAGCTTACGCCTCCGCGCATACCCAACCTTACCAACCCCCTAATCCTCTACGCACACCCAACCTTACCTATCCCCTAATCCATCTCAGGCCTCTACGCACACCCAACCTTACCCACTCCCCTAATCCACTTCACGCCTAAACGCACACCCACCCTTACCCACCCCCTTATCCACCTCACACCTCCACGCACATCCAAACTTACCCACCCCCTAATCCTCTACGCACACCCAACCTTACCTATCCCCTAATCTATCTCACACCTCCACGCACACCCAACCTTACCCAACCCCTAATCCTCTACGCACACCCAACCTTACCCAACCCCTAATCCTCTACGCACACCCAACCTTACTCACCCCCTAATCCACCTCACGCCTCCACGCACACCCAACCTTACCCACCCCCTAATCCACCTCACGCCTCCACGCACACCCAACCTTACCCACCCCCTAATACACCTCACGCCTCTATGCACACCCAACCTTACCCACCCCCTAATCCATCCCACGCCTCTACGCACTCCAAACCTTACCCACCCCCTAATCCATCCAACGCCTCTACGCACACCCAACCTTACCCAACCCCTAATCCATCCCACGCCTCTACGCACACCCAACCTTACCCAACCCCTAATCCATCCCACGCCTCTATGCACACCCAACCTTACCCACCCCCTAATCCACCTCACGCCTCTACGCACACCCAACCCGCCCCACCCCCTAATCCACCTCACGCCTCTACGCACACCCAACCCGCCCCACCCCTCATCCACGTTATCGTCAATTTGACGGATTGGAATTCAATTAAGTATCTTAGTAGATAGCATGTCAAGTGCCTTTTTATTCATATATTATAGTTTTATGTTTCAAATTTCAAAATGACTTATTTGAATTCAATTTTTTTTATTGTCTTTTGTATTCAATAAATGATCAATTTGGATTTAGAGAAATTCAAATAATATGTTTTATACAAATGATATTTTTCCACTTCAAATGTTTTTTATTTGAATCTAAATGAACGCATTAAAATCAGCATTTTAATATTCAGATTTAAAGAGAAGAGTTCTAACTATCTGATGTGATAAACGGCTGGTGGCTATATCACCGAACAACACACGGGAGGCCGTCGCCAGCCATCCTGAACAGTGTCTTGTTCAATGACACAACGACGACAGTACAGGTTGTCCGTATACCAGTTTCATGGGAAAGTGAATTGTAGATTTAAGAAATAAATATTCATTATCTTTCATATCATCAGACAGACAGTTGTCATACCATTACATATATCAAGTCGTCGTGGCCGAGTGGTTAAGGCGATAGACTAGAAATCTATTGGGGTCTCCCCGCGCAGGTTCGAATCCTGCCGACGACGGAATATTTTTTGTACTTTCGATTATTGTCAGATGCATTAAATTATATGCGTAATCTCACTGTAATTAATAATATGAACAATTCGTTGACGTCCACAATCAGATAAGACACATGAATCAGGGTCTATTGGTTGAGGCTGGTGGCTACACCACTGAACATCATGCGGAAAGCACAGTGGGCGGGGCGACCTCAGCTTCCCGTGAATCCCAAATCGCCTCGAACAGGGATAGAATCATACACCTTATATCTTAGGTTACACAGTACAAACATGTTCTATAAATAGAGCTATTTTGATTCCTACCTCGGTCTGGAAAGTTTTTTTTTTATGAATTACTTTTACCGTAGATGGAACTCAAGTCAGAGCAATCCTCGAGATATTGAAGTCAGACAAAACATCTCGAGTTTTTAATTTTTCAGTCGTTATAGACATGTCACTAGAGTAACGACCATCCTCGAGATATTGAAGTTAGCCCACAAATCATACTGAGTTTAGATTTCAATAGTCACCGTAAGCATACTATTTATAGTTCGTGTTAACAGAGATTCTTAAAACGATGTTACAAAAACCTATTAAAGAAATAGAAAAAATCCCTGTCATCACACAGAAGTGAAATCGCTCATAACACTTATTGTTTAAATCACAAATGTTTTGTTAAGTATTGTAATGATAATGATGGTAAAATAAACAATTTTGGTACATAAGATGTCGATTTCCTTTCGGTATAATCAAATTACTTTAACCTACATTCATAATCTTTGTGAAAAAAGTCAGCATATGAATTTTCCTCTGACATTTTCCTGGTTTTTGCCTGTCTGTGCCAGCAGTTTTGGGACATTATTTCTTTGTATATTAAAACTCACCTTGTCATTTAAAAGTCTTTGAAGACATTCATTTCAATCATTTCTTTTAAAGAATGTCAATCATTTTATCTGAAAAAAATACTAAGTCGTTTTAAAATCGTTGTAACTTTTTCATAAGTAAATTAGCGATTTGACACATTATACTGTGTATATAATGAAAGTTAAGTGATTCAGAAAACACCTTTATATCACGTTCACGGAGACACTACGTGTAGGTAACTAAGGCTAACATACAATTAATTAATTATACATCACATAATTATTTAAATAAAACGACAAGTTGGAGAGTTACAGTAAATACAATGGAATAATATTGTATGCCAAGTCGTCGTGGCCGAGTGGTTAAGGCGATAGACTAGAAATCTATTGGGGTCTCCCCGCGCAGGTTCGAATCCTGCCGACGACGCTTAGATTTTTTTATACTGCGCCATTTAACTGAAACTCATTTATACTGTAAATGTGAAAAGTGTTTTATGCTCCATGATCGAATAATTGGGAGCATATTGTATCTGTGCTGTCTGTTTGTCGATTATCAACATAAACCTTGCCCATACATATTACACCGTAAGAGGTTGGGATTTCATTTCTGGCATGTGTGTTTCTTGTGACAAGACCTTTCTGGTAGCTTCAAAAGTTTTGACCATGTGACTTTGACCGTGACCTTTGACCTACATTTGAAAAAAGTTAAACATTGGCCTCAACTATTGCACAATGGAGACGTAAGTGTTTTAAAACGTGTGCATACAAGTAGCATATGTCTTACACAATGCAGTTTAAATTTCCACTTCATAATTTTGTTGCAACCGGAGGCATATTTTTTCATAAAAAACACTTGTTTATCATTTAATAATTCTAGAAAATGAATATCATTGTAATATTATAATATGATACAATATCATTGTAAATCGGATTCCAGTCATCGTAACATACATATAAATAATGTTATCATTAAAACAAGACTCTCTCCGTCACCGTTTTACAATGATATTCATTTTCTAGAATTATTAAATGATAAACAAGTGTTTTTTATGAAACGGTTGTAACAAAATTCTAAAGTTGTAAAACACTTACGTCTCCATTGTGCAATGTTTAACTTTTTTTTCAAATGTAGGTCATAGATCACGGTCAAGGTCACGTGATAATCGACAAACAGACAGCATAGATGCAATATACCCCCGATTTTTCGATCTGGGAGCATAACGCGCTGATTTCTTATATTCACATTTTGGGTAAATGGATTTCAGTTAAATGGCGCAGTATAAAAAATCTAACGTCGTCGGCAGGATTCGAACCTGCGCGGGGAGACCCCAATAGATTTCTAGTCTATCGCCTTAACCACTCGGCCACGACGACTTGTTAAAGTCCATCATCTCGGTGCCTTCCCATCGTTACTTCTGTACTTATCTGTATACAGGTAAGTTTTACAACATATACTTATAAATATTTCCGAATAATTAACTACATTTTGTCTACATTACCTGTACTTAATTTCGAGTTTTTGAAGTCATCATTATCATTATACATTATATATTTATGTTGTTGCTATTTGAAAGTATCGGAAAAAATTCAAATGATGATTTTGCTCAATATACTTCAAAATCAGAAATGAAATTAGTATATTTATTTATCTACAGTAAAGGTAGGCGGTTTTGTTGTTTTGTTGTTTTCCTCCTTATTCCGATATCACTATCATGGTTCTTTCTTTGAGGACTAGTCATTATCATAAATAAAAGACGTTTGTAGTTCTCAAATATCTAATTTGGTTGTTAAGCATAAACAATGGGTTAACAGTGCATATTTTGTGGTCAGATGTGCATTGTTGATGACTGAAGGTAGTTATAATAACAATCCCGACCGTTCTAGAACAGACGGCGACAAAGCGACAATACCAGACATCGGGTAATCGAGAATGCGACAATAAGAAATAAAAGGACGGGGCACCGAAATAATAAAAATGCGAAAAGACATCCGAAAGAGAGCGAGAGTGCAATACGGGTTGGTGAACCGGATAGGAGAAAGGTAGACGAAATGTATCTCGTCGTATTATCATTTCATCACATTGTCGCTATGTCGCTATGTCGCAATGTCGACATTAGGTCGGGAAAGAGATTCCTACCCGCTAATCATATTTATGACGAGAAGAATGATATTAACTCCAAAGTCCATAACGATTTTATTCAATAAATTAAAATAATTATTCAACAAATATGAAAATAGACTCTTTTACAATCATTCACGAACATTGTCAATTGATTGAGTATTATAAATAAGATATAGGGAAACACGAGGTATCATTTTCGGACTTGATTGTATGATTTACCCGAGATGGCAGTAACACACATCTGCCTGCCGCCAACATAATCTATGGCATCAGTTTCGTGGTATTGTAATACACATACCGAGCGATTTGTCCGAAGGTCGTGTTCATGGATTTTATATCTTTCGGTGAGTGCGTGAGCGCGTGCAGTTCATACCAAAGATGTATGGCATAGTTCTCATTCCAATCATATATATCTCTGTAAATAAGATGGCGGTCGGGACCGCTTGGATAATTCAGGGTCCTTTCCTCAACGTGTATTAAGTGCGGGAATTGATACTGTAAGTTGTAAGGTATAATTGAACTATGTTGGTCCCATTCTCTCTCTGTAAAATTATGATATGTTTCCCGCCAAATATTCAAAAATGTTGCGTTTTTCTTAGAGACGATGATTCCGTTATTTAGTCTGCCCGGTGATCCGTGATACTCCAAACCCATTGTAAAGTCATATTTTCTTAATGGGTCAAAGGACTTTAACACAATGACGTCATTTTCAAGAAATATTCCACCTTGTTCCTTTAAGACATCAAGACGGATGAGGTCGGATTTGTGTTCAGGGCGTTTCACCCTGTGACCAAATATGGAAGTTGACGGATAAGTCCTGATCACTTCTATTTTGATGAGTTTCCGAAGGGTCTGCCACCAATTACCAACAGGGTCATAGTCACAATGGAGGTAGATGTGATCCGGACGAATAAAAATGGCCGCCGACTTTATACTCAGGAAATGATGAAATTGTAAATACACTCGTTCTCCGATCCACGTGAAGTGTACAATGTTGGGCACTACGTAATCATCAGCCATTTCAAGTAATGACGTTTTACGTCCTGTCGGTGACGTCACCATTTTCAACAGAGGTACCTGTTTCTGTGGCGGTATTTGATTACCGTTATAATAAAGCAATCCACCGTCGTAAGACCACGTGATCATGCATATCAACACAAGAAACGTCACCATAGCAACCGCGGCGAGAAGCTTCTTTATTTTCTTTCGTGACATGTTTATTACACGAAATAACGCCACCTGTTCTCAAACATCGCCAAACCGTGATACAAGCAAGCATTCACCGTTCTCCATGCAAAATACTCGGACATTCTGAAAAGAAAGAAGGAAAGGTTTTTATTCAATCTTTAATGTTTTGTGAAAATATTTCTTGTATGAAAATAAGAATGAATGATATACATAGAAGGAAATGAAGCCGTATACCTTTTGTTAAATATCTTGCATTATGTAACTGTTCAGATCGCTTTCGTGTACACGGTCCGGAGTGGACATTTCAAAATGGCGGCCAAAAATTATACTGTGGTACCGATCTTTTGGTCCCCATTTACTATCAATTTCTGTGGACTAATGTTTATTCTCCGGAATGTTGGTACCACGAGAGACATGCTGAAACCATCATCTTTGCGGAAAGAGGAAACGAGCTTCAATTTTCTGTAATTTTTAATCTGCGGTTAATTACAGGAATTCTGAATCAGGTTTTAATTTTTCTGCTAGGTTTCTTTTCTACTCTTTTAAGTATCGTAGTTACAACTTTAAACTTTAAAAACATTAAAGTCCATGTATCGTCTTATCACTACAGTAAATATTTCTTTAAAACTGAAAAATACTTTTATACTGATGAACTGAAAATACGTTTGAGACAATGCAACGGAAATTCGAAACATTGCCTGCGTCCTCCGTTGACCCCTGTCTTCACATCAGCAGAAAAAATGGTAGAAATATTGGTATAAAATGATTTAAATGAAAACTACAAAACTACATGTAAAGAGCTAATTCGGCAACTTCAAATTCATCCCATATCTTCATGTATATAACACATTTATTTTTTTGAGAATGTCGTCGCTTCTTTCTTGGGTTTCCGATGAAGCTCAGATTCGAAATGAACAATAATTCTCTTTCATTTCTAATTTTTACCCTTGTTCATGAGCTGGGTAACGATTCAGTAAAACTATATCAAAGTCAGTCACTTGAAATCATCATTAAAATTCAATACATTCGTGTATAGTTGTTTGAATTTTTACACGGAGCCATCTAATTAGATCCCCTCCAGACCACGTGCACTATCTCTTTAACAGCTAGGTAACTAGCCACATATTTTTAAAGCTTTTGACAAATGATAAAATGATATAAGTTCATCTAAAAACATCAGTTTTCACGTATATCAACATAGTAAAAGTTTAAACATCACGTGAAGATCTCGTGTAATTTATTGAATCATCAGACTAAAAAATACCCAAAGATAAAAATTCTTAGTAGATATAAATATCGCCAGTGGAGGCAAGATTACGAGAGGCTTTTGTCAGTTATAGGTTTAGGGTATGCTTTTCAACACAATTAACACGAGGTTCTTGTAAGCGTACTGTGCCAAGGGACGTAACTCGTGATTAAAATCTGTAAAGTCATGACGTGCAGAGAAAAGTTAATTGGTTCCAGAAAGACGTCATCAAAATCTTACTTTAATGTTTGTATTCGTCCATCCGTTCAACTGTAGATAAATCTTCGTTCGTTCGTTCATTCATTCATTCATTCGGGAATATTACTGAAACATTCACCGTATCAAAATGATATAATTCAGTTGACCCGAGTGTCATGTCGTCGTCCGTGCTCAATATGTCTGTCCATTGAATTATTGAGTAAGTACACCGTCCGTACTCTATATGTCTGTCCATTGAATTATTGAGTAAGTACACCGTCCGTACTCTATATGTCTGTCCATTGAATTATTGAGTAAGTACACCGTCCGTACTCTATATGTCTGTCTATGGAATTATTGCTTTAGTACACCGTTCGTGCTCGATATGTCTGTCCATTGAATTATTGAGTTAGTAGACCGTCCGCACTCAATATGTCCGTCCATTGTATATTGAGTCAGTACACCGTCCATGCTAAATAGGTCCGTCCATTTAATTATTGAGTCAGTACACCGTCCGTGTCAGTACACCGTCCGTGCTCAATGGGTCCGTCCATTAAGTTATTGAGTTAGTACACCGTTATGGGGTTATTACAATGTCAGTTGTCTATCTCATGCACGTTCATTGATTAATGGGTCCTATACATCTTCCTACATTTTCACATTGATTTCAGCCCTTTGCAACGACAAGTCCTAGAAGGACAAAACAGCTTGATAATACAGTTTAATTCTTTGTTTGACTATAAGGTAAAAGTAAATAGTTTCGATATTATTTTGTCTAGTCGTTGTCACTCTGTACACTGAACATTCTCTTGATATTGTGCCAGCATTGCCAATATCACTTTTACAATCTTAAGATAAGTAATACTGTGTTACTGATTGAGATAAGAAGGATATTTAAACATACATTTTCACTTTGAAAAACAAACCCTTTCATTTATAACAATGGTGAGATCTGCCTGTCACCTCGTCTTATCACTACCAGATTTAACCATGTTCGACCCAGGAGATCTAACTCCATGTTAAAGCTTGTTATTGTTACCCTTTTGTTGTACAACAAAAATAGGTGTAGATCTGAACTATCTCATTTATTGTCGCTAATATCCAGAGCTTTTAGAAAGGCATTAAAACAAATCAACGATATTTCTTGTTTTATTATTTTTTGTTTTTGTTTTTGTTTTTATTTTCTGGTTTTGGTTTTTTGTTTGTTTATTTCTATACTTTTATTTTCATTTTTCAAGTACTTTTTTAAAATGACTTTTCTTTATTTTGATTTTAAAAAGGTATAAACATCAAATACATATGGATCTTATTTGAAAAGTTTATGAATCCTAAGATTCTAGAGAAATCACAAACTGTTATATTTTCCGTGGACATGGCGTTTTCATTATTGTACAAGTATATCCTCTTTTAACAGAGGTACTTTAAGTAAATGCATATAGACAAAATCCTACCCGCTTTAAGCTCATAGATTTGACTGATAATTTAGATGAAATAAATTCCTTATTTACAATCCATTAACGTATGAATAACTCTCCTAATATATAAGTCCACGGTTGACTTATTTTGAATAAAAAAAATAAATCTCCCGGATGGAAGGTATTCATTGAGAGTCTAAATCCGAGATATGACGATTTCTCGTACATAGATGCGGTTTTCCTATGAACTCGTTTTTAAAATTAAGCTAATTTTCTGATGATAGAGTTTGACATATATACTATCGAGCAAGGCTTTTCACTTGCTAGAATATCTGTCACAAAGCAATTAAATATCACTTGTACGTGGAATGTAAATTATATGTGTTAAATGTATGGGTGAGTTTATCTACTCCGAGAGTGAGATATATATATATACGCTTTGTCTAAATACGGCCATACATAATTACTTATATCATGCAGCACAGGACTTGTTTAGACGGAAAGACTATCAAGTTCTTATTAAGTTAACTATGTATTATATACGTCCCTGTTTGTGTGGTACCTGGCTATGCGTCTCTCTGTATATGTGTGTGTGTGTGCACGTGCGTGTGTATTATGCAATTTTATTGGTTGTGAATAATTAATTGCATTTGAAATTAGAAACAAAATTCCGTTCTGATTTGTCACGTTGAATATTGAACGTTAGATGAACCTGGTATATACGTGCGAAAAACACCTTCAAACGGCCACTGGTGAATACTGCTAATGTGTATATACATTATTCATGGACATCCTGATGACAAGGGTAGACAGAGTAAGTCTTCTGTATCCTGGTGTTTGATATGGCATGCAGCTGTATCAAGGAAGTGGAATGGTGACAATTATCTGCAGTATGACAGTGGATATGTGAGAATGTGAGAATGTGGCAAGGGTGCCCTCTGTCTGGCTTTCTTTCTGTCTGTTTGTCCGTCCGTGTGTCGGCCTATCTGTCCGTATGTATGTCAGTCTTCTACTCTCTCTCTCTCTCTCTCTCTCTCTCTCTCTCTCTCTCTCTCTCTCTCTCTCTCTCTCTCTCTCTCTCTCTCTGGGGCGGGGGTGGCTGCCTTTTTTAAAAGTTAGACGTTAGACTAGGTTTGATCACCAACGGATAATATTCTATAATTATACATGTTGGAAAAAACATTTATATAGTAGAATACACTATACTTTATGCTGCCACTACATGGAATGGGGATGAGAGGCTTAAGATAGAGTAGAAGTTTTCGGGTGGGGAGGGGGGAGGGAAGGGGAGGGGAGAGGGGGGAAGTGTTTGTTAGATATGACATGTATACAGAAAGGAAATCAAACTACTAATTGTCACACTTAGACATGTTGGAACATACATACCATATATAATGATAGTTACTATTATGAATAAATAGTATGTGCTGAATTACGATCTTCACGTAGAATTTCTAATACATATATATATGCTGTAAGTAATGAACGTTGGGTTACTTACCTGTCTCTACACGTGTTTTAGTCGCACCTGCAACATATTCTCCTCTACATGATCGACAGAATCTCCCTGATAACACAAACACGTATATCAAATGTACACCGCGGTAATCCGGGCTTTAAACACCCGTATATAAATACCCGGACACCTACCCTATCGATAATTACTATCTACCGGTTTCCCTGCAATTGTGCGGTCTACACACTGTCGCCAAGGTGCGTGCCTTTCCATAGAAGTTTCGATATATTCATTATACATCTAATTGGCACAGAAAATAGCTTCGATCAACAGACGATAATCTAAATTAGCGAAAGGTAAAACATATCTAGACTAATTATGTTTTTTACGGTTTAAACAAATTTAACGAGAGTTAAAATCTAATGACGCGTGTGTATGTACATATAGGTGTATACAACTACAGTCTTTATTTATCTTTGACCTTACACCTTACTCGGTCCGACTTAGCTCCCCCACACAATAACAGTCATAAAGACCTGGGCATTGAAACCATGTGAGACCTACTTACAGCGATTTACAAGGTGTTTTATACATACACCAGGCTAAAGACTTGTGTCTTTAGTTATACGACCGACAGAATCTCCCTTAATATGTTTCTTGTCCACTTCTTGTTAAATGCGGAATTTAACACAAATTGTTACCATAAGCTAAA